GTGTTCTTCGACAGTGCTGTACATCTCTACCTCACTAAAACTCACTCTCAGTGTTCTTCGACAGTGCTGTACATCTCTACCTCACTAAAACTCACTCTCTGTGTTCTTCGACAGTGCTGTACATCTCTACCTCACTAAAACTCACTCTCTGTGTTCTTCGACAGTGCTGTACATCTCTACCTCACTAAAACTCACTCTCAGTGTTCTTCGACAGTGCTGTACATCTCTACCTCACTAAAACTCACTCTCTGTGTTCTTCGACAGTGCTGTACATCTCTACCTCACTAAAACTCACTCTCTGTGTTCTTCGACAGTGCTGTACATCTCTACCTCACTAAAACTCACTCTCTGTGTTCTTCGACAGTGCTGTACATCTCTACCTCACTAAAACTCACTCTCTGTGTTCTTCGACAGTGCTGTACATCTCTACCTCACTAAAACTCACTCTCTGTGTTCTTCGACAGTGCTGTACATCTCTACCTCACTAAAACTCACTCTCTGTGTTCTTCGACAGTGCTGTACATCTCTACCTCACTAAAACTCACTCTCTGTGTTCTTCGACAGTGCTGTACATCTCTACCTCACTAAAACTCACTCTCTGTGTTCTTCGACAGTGCTGTACATCTCTACCTCACTAAAACTCACTCTCAGTGTTCTTCGACAGTGCTGTACATCTCTACCTCACTAAAACTCACTCTCTGTGTTCTTCGACAGTGCTGTACATCTCTACCTCACTAAAACTCACTCTCTGTGTTCTTCGACAGTGCAGTGGAAGACACGAGGCTATGCTCGTAGAAGTCTACCAGCAATGTCGCAGGATTGAACTGGGTGTGAGAGAGTACTGTGATGACATCTATACCAAACCGCCCAGTCGGAATTGACTCTGGCTTCCTAACTGGACAAGGACTTTTATATGGGGCTTAATAACACCATATTAATATTTATGTCTCCTGTTAAATGTTAAGCTGATGTTAGAGACAAAATAAAGAGAAATGCAAAATAGTTCACTTTAAAAAAAATCTATATATATTATTCAAAGTTTTGATCAACTTAATGATCATAGATCAGATTGATAGTTATAAATCAGTTTGTCACATAGCTCAGATTTGTAGTCAAAAATCAGTTTGTCAGCTATCAGTTTAAGTGTCATGAAATTGATTATTGATTTGTTACCTACCGATATTCTGATTTTTTTTTGTAAATGTACGCTAAAAACTACGGATACCAGGACACTGCCAGTCAAACCGGTACGCTGCCGGTCAAACCGGTATGCTGCCGGTCGAACCGGTACGCTGCCGGTCAAAACCATTATGCTTCCGGTCAAACTGGGACGTGTAATAACCTTATTTATTAGCCTTTGTGGGTATATCGGATGGCTTGTTTGCCAAATATGGTGCTTGTGTGGCGCATAGGGGCTAGTGTGGTGGATCTCTAAGCAAGCGTGGCACCTCTACGGGCTTGTGTGCCGCATAGGGGGGGGGCAGTGTGGTGGCTCTCTAAGCAAGCGTGGCACCTCTACGGGCTTGTGTGGCGCAGAGGGGCTAGTGTGGTGGCTCTCTAAGCAAGCGTGGCACCTCTACGGGATTGTGTGGCGCATAGGGGGCCAGTGTGGTGGCTCTCTAAGCAAGCGTGGCACCTCTATGGGTTTGTGTGGCGCATAGGGGCTAGTGTGAGGGATCATAGTAAGTTTGCTGTCAGTGTAGACGCCAAGCTCTCGAACCGTATTTGACAAGAGGATCTCAGAAGCACCAACTTTGATCGATGCGATTAAAACCTTCCTAATATTGGCATCAGAACCTTCATATCATGGCCTCTGTCTTATCGTCATTGAATTTAAGTCTGTTTGATGACATACATGATTTCATAACAAGACAGCAGTCCTCGACAGCCTGAACAGCAGCTGCACAGTCCAAAGGTTCAGGGCGGAAACTCTTGTACAGTTCCGTGTCATCCGCAAATAATTTTCTGGATATACCACAAATGTCAATAATTCTGCCGAGCTGGATAGTGTACATTGAGAACAGGATAGGTGCTAAAACTGAGCCCTGTGGGACGCTGCAGGTAATGGAAGTGTCCATGGAAAATACTTGATTAACTAGAATCAATGAGTCCTTATATCAGTCGGATAAGAAGTAAACCAGCGAAGTTCAGTTCCAGAGATGCCTTCCTCATTCAGAAGTCTTGACAGAAGACGCTCATTGGTCAATCCCATCAAAAGCAGCGCCGACGTCCAACAGGACCAATAGAGTCAGATCGCTGCAAGGGTCAGCACTACAAGGATCATCATTCGTGACACGGAGTAGTGCCGTGTGTGAGCGTGTAGGTGTGTGCGTGTATGTGTGTGCGTGGATGTGTTTGCGTGGATGTGTGTGCGTGTATGTGTGTTCGCGTATGTGTGTGTGTGTGCGTGTATGCGTGCGTTTGAAAATCTGCAAAAAAATAACAAAACCAAAAACAAAAAAACAAAAAACTTTTATGGACGAGAACCAGAGGCGTAGCTAGTAGCTAGAGTGTTTGGCGCCCGGCGACAGGATTCATTTTAAAGCGCCTCCCTTGGTTTTTAAACTCTCAAACCCATTATTTTTCATAATAAAATAATATCAAAGCACATTTTGTCACCCAATACTAGTCAGGGACATTTCTCTCCCCCCCCCCCTTCTCACTGTTCCTGGCTAGGGGAGCCAACCCCATCTCTCACATCGACTCTCAATTGAGAGTAAGCGCCCTTTACCAGAAAAAATGGATGCAGTCCACTCTCTTGAGAGTAAGCGCCCTTTACCAGAAAAATGGATGCAAGTCCACTCACTTGAGATTAAGCGCCTTTTACCAGAAAAATGGATGCAGTTCACTCACTTGAGAGTAAGTGCTCTTTACGAGAAAAATGGATGCAGTCCACTCACTTAAGAGTAAGTGCCCTTTACCAGAAAACAGGGAAAAGTTGCGACTGATCCGGGAGAGAAAATTGCAAGAATGCTCCGAACAACCTGATATACCCCTGACACTAGCAAATGCTACATGTACAAAGTTGAGCCCCCAAAATATGTAAAGAGAGGACATACTAAGGACAATCGAGGCGTATGAGGATTATGTGGTACAAGTCTCCACATACGGCTCTTACCTCACCAACGGGGGGAAAAAGCTGGATACGGTGCTCTCATCCAGTACAACAGAGGAGATTTCGGGGCCAAGAGGGGAGAATATAACAATTATCGATGCAGAAGCCGGTGCTATTATGACGGCCCCGAAAAAAGTGCGCCGAAGATGAACAAGAAGAAAACCACTTCCAACCATCGTAGCGTTTACCGACACACAACTTGCTCTTGAAGCTGTGAGAAGGGGCTCATTGGATGCAAAAATGGTCAATGCAGTACTTACTAGACCTCATGCGAGCGATACAGTCACATGGTGGCAGAGTGGCCCTTCAGTGGATCCATGGGCACGAGAGATTACCCCCAAAATGATAGAGCTGACTATCTAAGCAAAGAAGGGGTCTGCACGACCACAACTTAACGGGCAAATGATCCGACTGGGGGGCCAAGGCCTGGTTGTAAGACCACTTCCGAGAGGAATGGTTAAAAAATTGGGACATTGCAAGACGGCCCGTAAACTTTACCGGAAAATGCCACAACCCATCAGAGAGGGTGATTAGTGGTTGGCGGTTTAAGCGCGAGAACCAGAGCCGCGTCATTGAGATGAGAACAGAATACTGTCTCACTCAAAGTTACTTACACAGATTACACCCTCTTCAGGACCCTAGTTGCCGTCACTGCGCCGGAGACAGAGGTGCACCGACTAGCCGAGCGCCCGAGTGGAGGGGTCGGGAACATCCCAGACCTCCACGCAGAAAGTCTGATTTACGGCGATGCCAAGCTGTCGATGGGCGATGGGTCATTAGAATATTAATGTACAATACAATAATAAACACTGCATGCAAAGGACTTGTACGGAAAAACTTTGTTTTTACAGGTTGTCTAAATTTTTTGATAGTGTGACGCCTGTATAAATAAATAAAAAAAAAAAATCTACTGTTTAGTGACTGCTATCTTCAGTCTTCTCCAGTGGTCCTTTAAAAAAAAAATTATATGCAGTTGATATCAATTTGAAATTATGGAGGTTGGAAGTTGTGCCAAAAATTTAGAACTACAAGGGGCGCCAAAATAAAAAAAAATCCAGTCCTGGCTTGGGAGGGGGGCACTTCTGAATGTTCGTGGAGTACCGTTCGACAACCTTTAACTATTGGATGTAATAATTAAAATATTTACTTGCTACAAGGGGATGTAATAATCCAAATATTTACTTGCTACAAGGGGATGTAATAATCCAAATATTTACTTGCAACAAGGGGATGTAATTATCCAAATATAAACTTATTAAAAGGGGATTTAAATCCAAATATTTACTTATTACAAAGGGATGTAATAATTGAAATATTTACTTGTTACAAGGGGATGTAATCATCCAAAGTATTTACTTGCTACAAGGGGATGTAATTATCCAATTATAAACTTACTAAAAGGGGATTTAAATCCAAATATTTACTTATTACAAAGGGATGTTATTATTCAAATATTTACTTGTTACAAATGGATGTAATAATTCAGATATTTACTTTTTTTCAAAAGGATGTGATAATCCAAATATTTACTTGTTACAAGTGGATGTAAAAAAAACAAATATTTAGTTGTTACAAGGGTATGTAATAATCCAAATATTTACTTGTTACAATGGGTTTAAGAAACCACAATTTTCCTGTTACAAGGGGGCTGTGTGTAGACACCATTTGATAGGCATTTGCTGTACCCATCTGTTCGTGACTACACATTCATTATGGGACGTCGTTACCTTACAGTATGGCAGGAAGATCACGACACGAAGTTAAGTCAATTAGTAAGCCCAAGAATGATTCTTATCTCGATTGACTTATCGTGTTCTTCCACGAGCCTACAAGGAAATCAACCGCCTGCGGTCCTATCGGTAGCGAAAGTGTCCTGTAGTTTGCGCGAGACAAAAAACGTTAGTGGGTTTGAGAAACAGGGAAAAGATTTTGTGTGGAAAGACGATGGCTAACACGGTGGAAGAGCTCGGTGGGAGGCGCCACTTTGACTACATCGTCATTGGATGTGGCGGGATCGGCAGTGGCGCCATCTACTGGCTGTCGAAAAGAGCAGGACAGAGTAAGTAGCGAGTAGTAGAGTAATTACGGTTGAAAATATTTTGATTCTCTTACCTAATCCTAGTCCTCTGACCACAGACTGAATTCTAACTCCAAGTAGCTTTATAACATTCTAATTGTAAATGTACAATTATCTGATTTATTAAGACAATGTTTTGGCCACATGAAAAGTACAATTCGACACATTTTTATATAAATCATGAATTACTAAAAAAAAATTGAATATTAATAGTATTTAAACAGATTTTAATCCGCAATTCGACATTACTTCATTCAAGACACGCTTCATCTTTGCTATACCTTATCTCAAGGCACACCTTACTTTTCCGACAAACCTTATCTCAAGACACACGTTATTTCCGATTAACCTTATCTCAAGACACACTTTATTTTTCCGACTAACCTTATCTCAAGACACACGTTATTTCCGATTAACCTTATCTCAAGACACAACTTATTTTTCCGATTAACCTTATCTCAAGACACAACTTATTTTTCCGATTAACCTTATCTCAAGACACAACTTATTTCCGACTAACCTAAGACACACCTTATTTCCGATTAACCTTGCCTCAGGACACACCTTATTTCAAGACACACCTTATCCTAAGACGCACCGTATTCCAAGACACACCTTATCCCAAGACACACCTTATCCCAGGATACACCTTATCTCAAGACGCGCCTTATTTCCTATTGACGTTACCTCAAGCCACACCTTATCTCAAGACACACCTTATCCCAAGACAAACCTCACTACAAGACACACCTTATCCCAAGACACACGTTATCCCAAGACACACGCTATCTCTGCCTCTAATCTAAAAGTCCTATGCTCCCGCTAGTCTAACTCTGCTCTGTAAGAGCGGGTGGCTCATCTGAGTACCAACATGGTTCATTGGCGTGAAGAAGAACAAATTGCGGTTGCGAGCTTTGAGGAGAGGGGGGGGGGGAAGCACTAATTTGAATTCTTAAAAAGCCTCCTTAACCGTATTCATGTAATTGTCCGATTTTCCTCCCCACCCCACCCCATTTCTCGATATATAACGTTATAAACAAATTGCGGTTGCGGGCTTTGAGGAGAGGGGGGGGGGGGAAGCACTAATTTGAATTCTTAAAAAGCCTCCTTAACCGTATTCATGTAATTGTCCGATTTTCCTCCCCACCCCACCCCATTTCTCGATATATAACGTTATAATGGGTTTATACGGGGAAAAAAAGTTGTTTTTAGTGGTTGTTTAGAGTTAAACGTTGAACAGCAGGTTGTTAATCGCTGGCCATGAATTACTCTTACCAGCTTTTACGCCATTCGTCATTTTATTGTGTTTAGGCCACAGCGCTTCGGCTGCAATGGGTAATCCTCATTGATGGCTGGTAGAGCTGTGTGCATCGGTCAAGTAATGCAATGAAACTCGGTGACATTGCTAACCAATGACGTGTCACATTGGTTCCAAAAAAATGTGTTGTTTCACGTTGCTGGCCGGTTATTCTCTGTAAACAACCGATTATATCGCGTGGCTAACCCAGTTATATTTATCAATACTGCTCCAGAATTCTCACTATTCAACGGCTCTTCAATGAGTGAATTTGTTGAGGTCAGTGAATCGAATGTGAGGAAAATCCTTGCTGATACCCCAAGAAAGTCATGTTCGCTTGACCCTCTTCCAGCAGGGCTCTTGTATGAATGTCTGGATGAAATAGTCCCCATCATCACTTATATCATAAATCAGTCCTTAGGGTTGCGTTTGTTTTAAATGTGGCAAATTATAGATTTGTTTTTTGTTGACTTTGTACCGCGGTTCGAGCCTTTGGGGATGAAGCGTGTTTTTGAAATGAAGTTTATTATTATTATTATTCTATCAAAACATGTGTTCCTAGTGTGACTCATATGCTCTGTGTTCCTAGTGTGACTCGTATGCTCTGTGTTCCTAGTGTGACTCGTATGATTTGTGTTCCTAGTGTGACTCGTATGCTCTGTGTTCCTAGTGTGACTCGTATGATCTGCTGTACACCGCAATTTAACTCCACAGGCGTCCTGGGCCTCGAGAGGTTCAGCCTCGGCCATGAAAATGGCGGGTCTCAAGATGTGTCCAGAATAATGTAAGTGCGTCTCATGGTGTGTCCAGAATTATGTAAGTACATCATGTGATGTGTCCAATATTATCTAAATACGTCACTTGATGTATCCAGAATTGTGTAAGTACATCACGTGTTGTGTCCAGAATTATGTAATATACTGTTGTTGTTTTTTTAAAGGAAGCAATTTTTTTCCTTCCGGTCCAAATTTGCTAAAAATAGAGCTGTTTAAGTGAAGTGACTTTAAAAAAAAAAAAAAAAACATACATGATTTCAAGAAAGAGTTTGTAACGTTTTCAACTTGTTCACCAATGTAGCAGTAGTGTCCCCTTTTTTTTTACACGCTGTGTGCTGACATCACAGTCATACCCAACTTAACTCCTCCCTTCAGTCTAGCATTCTAGTTTCCTGACAAACTCGCCATCTTTCTCCACAGCCGGCTGACGTACCCGTCGGACCGTTACCTCAAGCTGACCCCGGACACCTTCAAAACGTGAGTCCATTTTGTCCGCCCTCTCAGTGCAGTTCAAACTTCAATACGTGACGGCGCCGTGTCCGTTCGTTTAGTTCGGTAATGGCTGTCCGGAGACTTGTGCTTTTCGCTGAAATCTTCCTTTTAGCTGCAAAGCCTAGGCGGGGGGGGGGTGTCATGGAGAATCTACTGTTTCCCAGTCAACTGCTTCGCACAGCTTGACCAAGGATAACGTCAACTGCTTGCAGGAGGCGTTGGAATTTTGACCGAGCTCAAGACTGGCCTCCAGCTACGGATTTATCGTTTTTGAGGTTTTTAGTCCGCAGCCTGACACGTAGAGGACGTAGTCGCAGAGGACGTAGTCGTAGAGGACGTAGTCGTAGAGGACGTAGTCGTAGAGGACGTAGTCGTAGAGGACGTAGTCGTAGAGGACGTAGTCGCGTAGGTTTGTATGTCGGTGTTTTCCATCTCTTAGATGAGCCACCATCCAAGTTTGACTAGCCCCATCTCTTAAATGAGCCACCATCCAAGTTTGACTAGCCCCATCTCTGAGATGAGCCACCATCCATGTTTGACTAGTCCCATCTCTGAGATGAGCCACCATCCAAGTTTGACTAGTCCCATCTCTTAAATGAGCCACCATCCAAGTTTGACTAGCCCCATCTCTGAGATAAGACACCATCCAGGTTTGACAAGTCCCATCTCTTAGATGAGCCAACATCCATGTTTAACGAGTCCCATCTCATAGATGAGCCACCATCCAAGTTTGACTAGCCCTAGCTCTTAGATGAGCCACCATCCAAGTTTGACTAGTCCCGTCTCTTAGATGAGCCACTATAGATGTTTGACTAGCCCCATCTCTTAAATGAGCCACCATCCAAGTTTGACTAGCCCCATCTCTGAGATGAGCCACCATCCATGTTTGACTAGTCCCATCTCTTAAATGAGCCACCATCCAAGTTTGACTAGCCCCATCTCTGAGATGAGCCACCATTCATGTTTGACTAGTCCCATCTCTTAAATGAGCCACCATCCAAGTTTGACTAGCCCCATCTCTGAGATGAGCCACCATCCAAGTTTGACTAGCCCCATCTCTGAGATGAGCCACCATCCAAGTTTGACTAGCCCCATCTCTGAGATGAGCCATCATCCTTGTTTTACTATTCCCATCTCTGAGATGAGCCACCATCCATGTTTAACGAGTCCCATCCTCCCCACGTGTCTGGATTTGTTTTCTGATATTGCTGGGGTTTGCTTGTCATTGGTGGAAACACATAACCATACAGCAAACAATTGAAAGTCAATGTGAAAAGGAGTAACACTACAGGGTGCATGAAAATCTTGTTACTATTCATGAAGATAGTGTTACAATACAGGAACATTGTGTTACTGTACATGAAGATAGTGTTACTATGCATGAACTTTGTATTACATTTCATGAAGATAGTGTTACAATACAGGAACATCGTGTTACTATTCATAAAGATTGTGTTACTAAGAATTAACAATGTGTTAATATTCATGAAGAGTGTGTGTTTCAGCTGGGAGGCCGTTGAACAAGAGTCTGGTGTACAACTTGTGTACAAGCCTGGCGGGCTGACCATCGCAGAGAAGGGCGTCACCGATGACATCATGGATGAGTACGAGGGTGCCATGAAAAGATACAACATTCCGTACGAGCGTTGGAACAACACAGAACTCATGCAGAGATATCCACAGGTGGGTCATGGGTTGCTAGTGGGTCTAATCCATGCGAGCGTTGGATCAACACAGAACTCACGCAGAGATATCCACAGGTGGGTCATGGGTTGCTAGAGGGCCCAATCCATATGATCATTGGAATAAATTTGAACCAATGCAGAATGCAGATTTCCTCAGATGGGTCATGGGTTGCTAGTGGGGCTAATCCATATGAGCGTTGGAACAACACAGAACTCATGCACAGATATCCACGTTTGGGTGAGGAGTTGAGGTCAGGCTGATCCATAATAATTATGAGCGTTGGAGGGAATTTTCCGGGTAAGTGTAAAAATGATAGATTACTACGAAGCCGTACATCAAGTTGCATTTTCACCCACATTGCAACACCAGTGTATTGTTTTTTAATGTACTGTTTGTCTAGGTATTAAAGCGGTGTCACCCTATATTAAAACACGCGGATTTTTGTAAAAAAATGTTTGTCTCCAGTTTACGGTGGGTCCAGAGATTGAGGCCCTGTTCCAAAAGGATGCTGGGATTGTGGACGCCGCCATGGGGAACTCCCTGCACATCCAACTTGGCCAGGGTCGTGGCGCTAAAGTCCTGGACAACTGTCCCGTGAACAGAGTCACTAGAGCCACCAATGGGTTAATTGAGGTACTGCTGGCTAGGGCTTTAAAGTGGGCACTCTAAGGGTACATTCACAAACACGTCTTGAATGGGGTTACTGTCACATTTTTGACCAATAATAGTTGACTGAAGAAATGTTACGTAGGATTGAGAAATAATTGTGGTCTCATCTTTACACTGTGGAATGCTTGTTTTAATCTATAATTAAACAAACCCAGTGTCGTAGAAAGTTGGGAGGGGGGGGTGGGGGTGGGGGTATTCACCCAGGCCCCAGGTGTCATTTTTTTTCTTTATATGGAGGTGCGGCATTTTCTGACAGCTGCACAGTGTGTAACCTGTAAGGGAGAGTGGAAAAAATATTTGCCCCCCCCCCCCAATGGTGGCAGTAATAGCAGTCACGCCTCTAGGCCGCGTATCTTTTGTCAAACAAAGTTTTTTTTCTTATAAATCCTTCTTACGCATTTGACATTTAATTTTATATGAATATTCTAATGCCACACCCGCTTTTAGCACGCACATTTAGTTCAACAACTATTTCAGAAAAAACAAAAGAAATTATTACGCACCCCAGCGCAATTGCGATATATTTTTTTTTAAAGAATCTCATTCAGCGCCAGTTACCGGGAATTTTATTTCATGAAATTAATGGCATCATATTTCCTTCATCGTCTCCTTGATCAAACTTATTTTTGATGGTTTGGGGGTCGTGGGTGGGGGCTGAAAATTTTGTAGACTGTTGTCATCGGCAACGTGTCCATGTGCCAAGTTTCAGCTCGACAGATTGACGGGAAGTGGGTCCGAAGGTTTTGCCCTAAACACGTGAACGCGAGGTTAATATAAAGCATTTACAATTTACAAGACCTAGATCGATAAAAAGGACATGCCGCAAAGTGGAAAGAATAAAATGTAAACATAATCTGCAAACAAAAATTACTTCAATGTTATAATTTCTTTTACTTAAATATAGGTAGGCTACAGCATATCCTATTGAAAATTTGAAACTGAAATTTTTATTCCCTTCTTCAAAGGATGTTGGATTTATTTTTATTTTTATTTTTAAATTGGACAAATTTTATTTATTATACACAAATTTAAAGTGCTTAGCGTGTCTCGAGATCCCTGTGTGATTACGCTAAGAATAGATTTTGCGCCCTTTGAGTGAGCGTTGTTTGATTCTGCAGGTGAGCACTCCCTTGGGAATCTTCACATGCAAGAGAGTCATCGTCACGGCGGGGGCCTGGATCAACAATGTACTCAGCTACATCGGCTGTCACGTGCCGGTTTACGTCACACAAGAGAACGTCACGTATTTCGGATCGCCACACGTGAAAGAGTTCACCAAGGACAAGTAACAAATTTAAATTTTGTGTCTACCCCACCTACCCCACTTCTTACACAATCTCCATCACCCATAAAACATGGTAGATCTAATGTTATTTACTTATAGAGATGTAAAAATATCACCATATCACTTTAATACTATACCACCATATCACCCTATCGCCATATCACCCCATCACTATACCACTCTATCACCATATCACCCTATCACTATACCACTCTATCACCATATCACCATATCACCCTATCACCCTATCACTATACCACTCTATCACCATATCACCATATCACCCTATCACCATACCACCCTATCACCATACCACCCTATCACCGTACCACCCTATCACCATATCACCCTATCACCATAACACCCTATCACCATACCACCCTATCACCCTATCACTATACCACTCTATCACCATATCACCCTATCACCATATCACCCTTTCACCATATCACCTTACCACCATATCACCCTATCACCATACCACCCTATCACCCTATCACCATATCACTATACCACTCTATCACCATATCACCCTATCACCCTATCACCATACCACCCTATCACCATATCACCCTATCACCATACCACCCTATCACCATATCACCCCATCACCATATCACCGTATCACCATATCACCATAAACTAGTTTCAGATTCCTATGTTCATATACTACGCCCCTGGAACAGGTTCCCCATGTTTATTTACCACGCCCCTGGAAACGACATTTACGGACTTCCTGTCCACGGCATAAGCGGCACCAAGATCGGTATCGACGCCGCGGGCCCCGTCGTGACAGGGGACACCAGAACTTGGACCCCAGACCCCAACAGACTCGAACGTGTGAGGACCTTTCTCAGCAAGAATATACCAAAGGTAGGAACTACGAGAGTTTGAGAGGAGTTTGAAGATAAACGGGGTTGCCGGGCGGAAGGGGGGGGGGGGTGGAACGGGGGGGGGGATATTTAACAATGGGTAGTTTGTGATGGCGGGCTTTAGATGGAGGGGGGGGAGCTGGTTACTTTTTTGTTCCAAAGCCTAAATTGTACTTTTTTATACTTCCCCAATGGTGTGATACTGTTAATGAATGCTCCCCCCCCCCACCCAAAGATGTGATATTATTATTGGATAATTTTGGTGGGAAATGTTTTCTAGGAGTTGGATCCCTTCAAAATTGCCACAGATCAACATCAAATACGAGTTTAAACGCAATAAAATAAAGTAGGAGGACAAAATTTAAATAGTCTTAAAATGCATTAAGCAAAGAAAGTCTGTTCAGAGAATATATTTTTTAAAATTAATTAAAAAAATAAAACATATTTAAGTTTCGTCCGCATTCAGTTCGACAATAAGTTTGTTGGCCTGTGGGGCGCTTTCATTTCATGGGATATTACACTGTGATAAGTTTGTTGACCTGTAGGACGCTTTCATTTCATGGGATATTACACTGTGATAAGTTTGTTGGCCTGTGGGGCGCTTTCATTTCATGGGATATTACACTGTGATAAGTTTTTTGGCCTGTAGGACGCTTTCATTTCATGGTATATTACACTGTGATAAGTTTGTTGCCCTGTTGGACGCTTTCATGTCATGGGATAATACACTGTGATAAGTTTTTTGGCCTGTAGGACGCTTTCATTTCATGGATATTACACTGTAATAAGTTTTTTGCTCTGTAGGATGCTTTCATTTCATGGGATATTACACTGTGATACGCTTGTTAGCCTGTAGGACGCTTTCATTTCATGAGATATTACACTGTGATTAGTTTGTTGGCCTGTAGGACGCTTTCATTTCATGGGATATTACACTGTGATAAGTTTGTTGGCCTGTAGGACGCTTTCATTTCATGGGATATTACACTGTGATAAGTTTGTTGGCCTGTAGGGCGCTTTCATTTCATGGGATATTACACTGTGATAAGTTTGTTGACCTGTAGGACGCTTTCATTTCATGGGATATTACACTGTGATAAGTTTGTTGGCCTGTAGGGCGCTTTCATTTCATGGGATATTACACTGTGATAAGTTTGTTGGCCTGTAGGACGCTTTCATTTCATGGGATATTACCCTGTAGTAAGTTTGTTGGCCTGTAGGACGCTTTCATATAGTGCTCATCTGCACAATCAAAGTCCTGGTCAATGAGAAACCCTTACACATGACGTCATGTCGTCCACAGTTCCTTGGTCCGGTCATCAAGACAAAAACGTGCTTGTATACGATGACGCCAGACCGAGACTTCCTAATAGACAGCTGTGCTAAGGCTGGGTACCCGGATATCTTTGTGTGTTGTGGTGCTGGACATGCATACAAGTAACGCCAATAGACATATAATCATGACCGTATAACCTTCATCTTATAAATATCATCTTATAATTATGATCTTATAAGGAAAATATCATAAATATGGTCTTATAAATATGATAGTATAATCATGATCTTATAATATAGATCTCATAAATAGGATCTTATAAATAGTATAGTATAATCATTACCTTATATAACCATCATCTTATAAATATGAGCTTATAATCACGATCTTATAAACAAGACCTCATAAATATTATCTTAACATCGTGATCGTATAAATATGAGCTAATAATCGTGATCTTATAATCTTGTAATCGTGATCTTGTAATCATGATCTTATTATCATGGGTTTTTTTTTAATATTACCCTCTAATCATGATCTTACAACCACGACCGAATAATCAGGATCATCTTGTAACCTTTGTTTCAGATTCGCTAGCCTGTTAGGTAAGATCCTGTCTGAGCTGGCTGTTGACGGTCGCACCAAGTATGACATCTCTGAGTTCTCCTGGAACAGAGAAGGTCTCACCAACCCTGACTTTAAGCCTGTCTTCGTGATGGGCACAGACAAGAGCAAACTCTAGTTGCCATGGAAACAGAACTCTTCTATTTCTGGGGGCTTTGATTTGTAGGACCGTCTTTTGAAAAGAAGTTTTGTCTTCTGTTATTAACTCTTGCTATTTTCTGTTTCATGGAGAGTGTTAATGTTTACTAACAAGCGCAACATTAAAATGTTGCACGAGATGTAGCTGTTATCGGTCTGTTTGTTTGGGGTTTTTTATTATTAGAGTCCAGAAAAAATCCTACGTTTCATTTCTATTCTTTTCATCAACATAATTACTATAGTTCCCCAGTCCTTAAAAATAGTAGTATTATTTGCAGTTAAGGATGTTTCTTTCTTTATAAATTATAGTTGATTTTAACTTGATTTGTTAAATTTAAATTTTGCATTTCGACAATTCACAATTGAGTGGAGAAGTGCAGACTGCCGTTGTTGGAATATCCTTGTTAAGTTCTGCTCCATCTTTCACGTAAACGCTTCTCGTCTTTTCGAGTCTCTGCTGAGAAGAACCTTGAGTCGACAAACATGTTTTAAAATGCCACCAAATTGTGGAGGTCGTGTGAATTAAAATTGAAGAGGATTTTATTTTTTTAGTGAATTAAAATGTGCACAGTAGCCGAGCTTTGTAAAAATGTATTTCTTATCATTTGTTATCATTATAATTATAAGATTTTTTTCCCTGTTGTAAGAAAGCTGCAAGCCTATTCATTACTTAAAAGATGAAATAAAAATATAAACTCAAGCTGTTGTTTTTTGTTTTTGTTTTTTTTTTAAATCTTGTTTGATCTGACCTATCAGGAAAAATCATTGGCTGCCAATCGGGAAAAAAAATCATTGGCTGATGAACCAAGAGACGTTGGATCAATAGTTACTCCCTCTTTAACTTATGCCACGGTGTTAACCTTGGCCTGACAGAGTAGCCTCCCGTTCCTTTACGTAATAATATAAAATACCTAAATAACTTGGTCTTGTGTTTTTAATCTCTCTCGGAATTCTTTCGCCTCCTCTTACAAGATCGGCCCCCATCACGACCACTGAGGGGCCGTCCATTAATTATGTCAACAAAATAGGGGGTGGGGAGGGGGGTGGGGAATTTTTGACAATTGTCGACCAGGGAGACTGGGGTTAGTTTAGGTGACGTCAACGACAATTATGTTTTCTCTATTAATTTTTTTTTTAATTGACTGGTTATTACATTATTTTAACAAATTTAATGAGTGTAAATTAAAATAATTATATAATTTTTATTTATATAAATTTTAACTTGTTGATTAACAAGCTAAAAATCCAATAAAATGTTTTTCTTACAATTTTGGTTTATTAAAATAAATCAACACAAAGTAAAATGCATTTATCTTTTTATTTATATTATCATTCATTTTTAAAGGGTTTGGGGGGGGGGGGAGTAAAAATGTTGACATATATACTTAGTGGGGGAGGGGGGTCTTTGAAAGTTTGACAATTGTTGACAATGGGAGGTTGGGGGTCAAAAAATTTTAACGTAATTCAATCCTCTCTTTTTTATGACCAATGCGAACCTACAAATGAAATGAAATATCCTGTTGAATATCGATAACCTGGTATTCAGAATTGTGGTTGACCCCGTCCCGATTTTCGACTTATCGGGATGTTCGAATACCAATTTTTAAAAAAACCTGGAATCTTCAGTTCAGTCAATGAAGCAAAAGTAGGTCAATAAATCTTACACTCAATAGATTTTAGGAAAAACTAGAAAGAAACAATGGAAAATCAATAATACTATTCAAAACCTAAGATATGCCTAGTGTACAGCACTGCATTTCTAATCACATAACCGTAGTGCACGGGCAGAGAGCCGTCGCGTGAGCCCTACAACCCAATGCGGCTAAAGGTTGCCTCGGAGATTTAAGGAAAGGGGGGGGGGGGAGGGGCAAAGTTGTGACGTGGAAAAAAAAATTGGAAAGTATTTTAAGTAGCAGCGAATGGCTACTTAACATAAAGAAAACGTGGCAGAGGGGCACCCAGCCAGTGGCGTAGCGAGGGTGTTTGGCGCCCGGGGACAAAATTCGCGCCCGGGGACAAGATCCATTTTTAGCGCCCTTTTTTCTTTTTTTTCAACTCTCAAACCCATTATTTTCATCAATAAAATAATAACAAAGCACATTTTGGCGCCCCTAACTAGCTGGCGCCCGGGGACATCTGTCCCCCCTGCCCCCACCACAGTACGCCTCTGCACCCATGAGTCACTCCACGGCCTTATGTACATAATTATGGCAAAAGTCGTTCATTGTTGTTGTTTTTTTAACATGTGATGTAAATGTGGAAGTCAAGGTTGATCACGTGACTTGTGAAAGTTACTGTCGACTACTAATAAAAGGGTTGGACTGCATAATAAAACTTGCAAGTAGATTAATGAGAAACAGAACATTTTGTGCAAACAAAACATTGTGTCTATATGTTAAGCTTCAAGTATAATATGATCAGACAAAATATAATTCCAAACGTTTGGGCAAATGCCTTCATCCGTACAACAAACAAACAAATAATAATTTAAATTATATATATATATATATATCCTACCTATACCTAAAAATGAAAGAAAAGAATAAGAATGGGAACGAAAACAAAGATCAGAAAACGGAAAGAAAGTAGGTAGAAATATAACATAATAAGAAACATGTATGGCATCTTTTCGTCTGCGGGAGACGATAGATTATCTTTATTGCTTGCAGCCCTTGGTGTGGCTGGTAAGACCAATCCTTGAGTGGCAGTCTCTGTTGCATTTCCCACACACGAATGCGGTGGAGCAGTATTTACGGGCCTTCCTCCTCGCTCTTTTTGCAGCTGTTTCCGCCCTTTTTTGCTCCTCGGCATGTAGTGATCCTTCCTTCACGATGTCCCGCCATGTGGATCGATCCAGGTCCTCCCAGTTTGAGATGTCGATGTTGGTCGACTTCATGTCTCTTTTGCATATGGCATATGTTATGTCTAAGTATCTCAGACGAGGCCGTCCAACTGACCTTTTCCCTGTCGCCAGCTCGCTGTATAGCAAGTTTCTTTGCGTATGCGACCGGGTTGCATTCGCTTGACGTGTCCAAGCCAGCGGAGGCGTCTTTGGATTAACATGGCTGAGACGCTACACATGTTAGTTTGGGACAGGACATCCGTGTTGGGGACTTTGTCTTGCCATTTAATGTCAAGGATGTGGCGCAGGCATCTGAGGTGGAAGCCATTGAGCCTTCTTTCGTGCTTCGAGTATGTGGTCCACGACTCGCATCCATAGTGACTTGACAAAACATGAACTCAAGTTACGCACATTTAAGAATCCCAATTTCTGCTACACCCCTTCCACCCAAGATCGGTCACTGCACACTTTTTATTTCCCGGCCATGAACTATATTAAATAATCTGATGTCCCAACCACTTTTAAACCGAATATTTTTTTTTTACACCCTACTTAAATTGATACGAGTGCATTTGCCGAAAATAAAAAATTATGCACCAAACACAGTTGTGTTATTAAATAAATAAATATATGTATATAGAAATATATATATATATATATATATATGTATATATATATATATATATATATATATATATATATATACATATATATATATATATATATATATTTTCTCTCTTACACAACTCGATGTGTATAAGAGATATATATATATATATATATATATATATATATATATATATA